ACCGCGCGCAATATTTTGTAGCTCTTCCTTGTTCCCTCCTCCCCTTGCACATTTACACTAACACGCACTACACAAACAGCCGTGAGACGGGTCGGGAGCTTAGAGCTTGTCCCGACTGGGGTGGTGCGTCGCTGGTGGGAAATACTTGGTTTGAGATAACCCCGCTAGCCGACGGTAGGTCGGCGCCAAAACTTGCCATACAGCGAGAGAACGATCACCTCCACCTCCCGAGTAAAAGCATGCACTACACGTACGGGAGTAATGACGTTCCCAGAATCACAATCAATTCCCTGAAGCTGAAAAAAATGAAGAAAAATGTGGAATCAATGGTCAGTCTATATCCTCATCCAGTTCAGTAATCCCGCGTAGTTGACGAATGGGCCCAGCGTGCAGAAAGGCGGTCCATGGGAGAGCTGCGAGTGTGGCGCATTTGGCTAATAACCATTCTTCAACGAAGCGGCACCAACATCTTCTGGCTAGGACTATCCATACGCACCCGTTTCATCATGCGACACCATCCGAGCTCCAAATCATCACGGTCGCCTACATGTTCGCAGAGCGCCCACTCCGTGATAACATTTAGGCAGCATTAACTACTGCTTCTGTAGTAACGCGTATTTCCAGTTTCGCACTCGGCGACCCGCTGACCACTCTGCAGCAACGGCAAGAGCCTCGTTCTCTCCGAATAGCAAAAGTTTCTGGTTGAAGTTTGCATCATGAAATTTCGAATCTGCATGATCTTTGTTCAATTACCTAGCTTTCCACGACAGCTATATCTCCTCCGCGGGCGAGGTAGCGCTCCATCCGTCCTATTCGAACGAATAGCACTGGTTGGAGTCTCGCATCGCCCTCAAATTTCGACACCCGCCCGTTGAAATCACAGAGAACTTCAAAGTTATCACGTCGAAAATCTATTTTTCTTCTATTTGAATTGGGCGTTTAATAGGTTGAAAAAATACCTTCAAATTCAATTGCTTTCCCTCCATCTGTGCAATTTTATAGCCTTATACTTGCAGTAGACGCTAAAATAAAATAGAGCATGAAAAACACGCTTCTCGTATCTCTGCAACATATTGCGCCAGGAGGCTGAATTTTTGCGAATTACGGCCTTTTTTTATTGTCTTTCATATGTGCATCTCGATTATTGATTTAGTTTGGAGGCTTTTTTCACTGTCGTATTTTCGCTACATTCTTTCCCTAGCTATAAATGTCAGAATCGCAATCCTAAGATGGCGAAAGTGCGTTCTTTTCCTGCAAGGTGGTTAAGTGGCGGACAAGGAATGGACTCGCGGGGCAGTGGCGTTAAAGGCGACGTGGATCGACATACTGTTACAATATATTTCGCAAGATGTAGATATCAGCAGCTCTTAATGCCTTTTTGTGCTTAAAAACTTTAAAGCGTGCGGAAATTAGAAACTTTTGTTGCCGACTACATGGCGAAGAAAGGTTTGTCTTTCGTTTTGCTGCCAGTTCGTGAACCCTTACAGTCGTCACTGTAGCGATTAGCATTCTGCAAGGTCATGAAAACGGAGCTCTGTCTCTCCTTAGAAGTTCGTGGATGAGAGTCCCCGTAAGTGGAGGACGCGCAGCATGGCAATTAGCGAGGATCACTCCCAATCCTAGTTGCGCCGAAATAGTTAATATATAATCGTTCGTCATCAGATGGCGCATTAGGTACGGGTAAGTCTAGACACCTCTATACACAAGTGAACGCTTTTTAATATCAAAAACTACTTTCACCCTTAACAACCAAACTCCAGGGCATGACCACACGAAGAAGAAAGCGGAAAAGTGCAGGAGCAGCGTTCGGGAGGATTTTGTCATGGCAAAACGAAAGATGCTGCGCAGTCACTGAGAAAATGATTTAATTATGTACAAGTACAATATTGTTTATACATTAATCGTATACAATATTGTGAAGCCTCTTTGTCTCTACGGCACCAAATTTGAGTTACATTTTAGAATTTTTTTAAAAAAATACCGTGAATTTGACAGTGTTCTTTCCCCTCATTACTTCTTATGTACTATTAATATCGTAACAAGTCAAGCTCTAGAATGTATGTCGCTGTAAAGCACAGATTAAACCTGTCCTTAAGTAACCACTTTTCCTGTCCTTAAGTGACCATTAATTAATGGTCACTTAAGGACAGGAAAAGTGGCTATTCTGATCTGTGTTCGAGGTTTATTAATATACAGAATGTCCAGGAACTCCCGTTACAAAAAATACTCCAGATTCTGTGTGGGCATTCATGAAGAATGGCAGATTCAGTTTTCCGAAAAAATGACTTCAAGCTAACTGAATTTAACTTTACTGTGGTAACGTTGGGATTGAGAGATCCAATTAAACTTTTCTTCTGAATTATTCACAGAAATGAAATTGTATTATTTCTTTCTAAAATGTTTTCTAAACGAGAAATAAAACACTTTTAAACTTATCTTCAGACACAATTACTCAGCATTGGCATGGCTTAAGCGTAGACACATTTTGCATTTCTGACAAAAGTATTTTGACGTATTGTCTTTGCACAATTAAAACCGTCGTCTTTGTGTAACAAGTGGAGCATTGTCGTCCAAATTTATTCCACATAATGGAACTGCTGACATCCTAATTTCAACAGGATATTATTTATTCTGTACTCTTGTCTTGAGTTGATTTCCCATCAATGTCAGACAACTTTTTTAATATTTTCGCTTTGGATATTTATTGGCAGAGTTGTGTTAGTATTTTAAGTAGCAATGTATTAATGCAACGTTGAAAATATAAAATATCGCCATAGTCCACCGGCTAGTGTTTGTGCCTACATATTCTTGATACATTATGGTCCACTCCTTTTATTTCATTGTAGAACAGTATCTGTTTTCCTTTTTCTCCAGTTGATTTATTCAATTATTGCCATGGTGCATGGTAGAAATCAGTACTGCGTATCGAGTTTTCGCGGGTATGTATAACACTATCGTACAGTTGTTCTGAAAACCGAATATACTTGTACTTCTATATTCTCTGTTTCTGACATTTATAAATGCAACGGGCAGCTCTTTTTTACTTTTACTAATTGTGTCTACAGTAGTTATTTTGTGATAATTTGCCATTGTATTTACAAAATCGTATCTGGTAAAGCAGGTATATAACGTAACATAGCTAGATGAGCCGTAAATCAGCGATCTCTTCACAACCGCATGTGGTTTGTTATCTGTTTGATGTGGTACTTCGGGTTCCTGGCGTACGTAAACTTCCATATTCGCCGTATAAAATAATTTCGCATCCAGTACGCTTATCGCTTTTATTCCACGCGCCGTCTTTTAAATGTACATACGGAACGCACAAGTGTATACTCGAAAAGCAACAAGTGTTTCATCCGTTGTAGCAAAATATTCAATTGAGAAATTGGTCTTGCAACGCTCTACAAATGTGTCAAAAAATCTCTAATTGGAGCTAGTTTTTCCAAGGCTTTCCTTTCTGCACATGTCTGGAAATCATCAAATTGCAAACCACTGGATAAAAATCTAAATTACTACTCGTCTTTACATGGTAGTCTAAAACATCTCGGCACCTGTTCCATCTCTTCCAGAATTCTTCCATGTTCAATCTCCTCGCACTAACAATTAGAATAATCCCATTAGCGCTCTCATTTCATTGATATTACAACCATGTGTAAATCTTTGTTGTGAATTATTCATAGCTATTTTCTCAGTGTACCTATTTGTACTATTGACAATCATATTTAGGATATCTTAGTCTATAAACAAAGACCAGAACAAGTTTGAGCATTTTTTCCGCATTGCTTCACCACCGGTAAACGTGTAACTATTGTTTCGACACCTGCGAATTATTACATTGCTTACTTCCTCCATTTTGTTGTATTGTCTTTCCCTTTTCCTGTACAGAAATTGCTTACAAAATTCACACTTTCACTTATTTTTCTGCCTCTGCCAGTATCGTCCTTACTGTATGAACAGAAATCTGGGTCAGTAAGACCTGACAGTTTCCTTACGTGACAAAGTATTTCATTCAAAGAAATCCTGTACTGATTGTAATTCTAATGAAAAACGTTATGTTGAAATGTAGAGGAACATTCAAATAAATGCAGTGTTGGCAACTCGAGATATGTTAAAATAAATACAATTATACACTGTGTCTGGTAGACCCAAGGCTGTCATTGAAGGGTTAGATGTTAGTTCCGGCCGCGAAATTCAAACCGGCTGCCGCGTCACCTGCGGCAGACACCTGGTGCGGCGTCGGCCAAAGGGGCTGGACATCTTTGTGCGTTTTCGGAGAAACTGTCAAGTGAGACACGCCGCTTGTCGCCCACTAGAGTTCCTTAATAGAATCAAGTTTTATGTCCATTATTCATTTAATATTTTAAATCTATTGAAATACATTTTTGCTGTATGTTATAACCACGGTATGCAACGGCGTAACGATGAACACGAACCAAGTTTGAACTGATGCTTTCGCCAGTTTCCTCCCGTACCCGCACGACGACAATTGCATTGGTGAATATTTGCACTACACATCTGGATGCACAATCCTACGCGGTATCCATGATAAACTGTGAGAAAATGGTATATGCCCTATGGGGACGACTAACACAATAGTTAACTAATATTTTGTTGAGGCAAAAGAGTGAAAAAATAGGAGGAAAACTTATGTTTCAGACATATTAGTATCTTGCTTGGTCGCGTCGAGGCTTTGCCGAGCCTCTTTTGCAGACGTCGCGCCAGTGTCGCAGTAGCGGGTATGAATTTCCCGCCCGGAAGTAACATTTAAACTCAATTCTCTTTAGGGAGACTTTTTCTTTTAGAAAAACTGGATATGCCATGTTTTATGAATTTCAACTTAGATTTAATTTTTTTGTATACGGGAGGTTCTGGACATTGTACAGAGATCCACGTGAACAGCAGACAGATTCATTCAATTAAGGTGAGTGTGTTATTTCGAATCAAATCTCGCTATTGTGTACTGCGTGAATGAAATGATGGAGTTAATATGCTTTTTTGAGATGGTGGGAGGTGAATTTGGCAGCCCTTGCTCCTCACGTGAAAACGCTTATTCTGTGGATGATAAAATTCAACCTCGTGTATCGCTCAGGCTGCACTCGCGAAACGTGCGCAACCAAATGCTGAGCATTGTTTACTAGCGAGAAATTAGTGAACAGGCGAATTCGAAGGTAAAAATGCAAAAAATAATTCGGTGGTAGTGGTCCATAAGTGTGGTATTTCTCACAAGTCTCGTAATATTCTACGTTCTACTCATATAATTTTACAATTTTTATATTGAATCGCTTTGCGTTCTATAATATGTGCTGATAGCAGCGGATACAATACCGGTGAAGGCCGATTTGTAGGCAGAGATACGAGCTTTTTTTTTTTTTTTAATTGAGTTCCAAGGCAGGAATAATGATTACATAAATCGTTCATCATCATTCTTGTTTTGTGACAGGAATTTCTACTAAAAGATGCCAGAATCAAGATCACAGCGCGGCGGTGTGACGAGTTTCTTTCGGGGTGTTTATTATGATCCTTTCAAATGGTGAGCAAAAACTTTAAGTCCACACAAACGTATGTTTGTTAATTTATGTTTTGTGGAAAGTAATCATGTACTTACCTCATATTTGTTTCAGGTCTCTGGTGAAAAGTTTTTCATTATTTTTGGTTGGTATTAGAATTGCCAGGGAGTGTGTGGGCATGGATCTTATGCCTCCAGTAACTATGCAATAGTTTCCTGTCAGAAATGGATAACCTAGTTGTTAAAAAAATGCTGTTAACAGTGATATGCTGTATTGTTTGTCTGAGTGAAATACATAGTTCAAATGTAGTAGTCATTCTTGCTGATGATCAGGATCTTACATTGGGAGGTCTTGTAAGTGTCTACTCTTAAAATTCTATCAAGTTACTCTGTCATGGAGGCTAAAGTGAATAAGTGTGGATTTAATTAAATGAATGATCGCACATCTTAAAGCCCAAATAGTTGTTGTGAGGAAAGGTTGCACTGTCGATGTTATGAACCGAAGTGCATAGTCTTCAACACCAGAAGTGTGATTGACTTTTTTTTTATAGAAAATACCAATTTGAGCTCTTGCATACCTCATAATGTGTGAATATTTTTCTGTACATAGAAAAGTTCAATCATTTTGTGACAATCCATTTCTAATTTAAAGACTAGACTCAAAAGACTTAGTTCCACTTTACTGTACTCAGTTTAGCCTCTTCAAATATGTTGTGTGAGGATTTGTTCAAGGAATCTTTTCTGCTAATTCTCAGCAATATGCTATTCCTTTTGAAAAAGTATGTGTTGTAAACTGCAAAATATCACAACATGTATATAGCAAATGAGAAACCGATTGTATGTAAATAGTGTCATGAACATTATTAATATGGGTACTTACTTCGTAGGATTGAGGAATGAAGGAATTTGATTGTTATTACATGGTTTTAAGCACTTGTAATTTTAATTGTTTTGGGACAGAAAATTAATGTTTATTACAGATTCATTTTATTTATTGGATTGAAGTATTTTGAATTTTCTTGGCATTGTGTGATTCTATAAATTTAATTTAATTACCTAATATCCATGTGTTGCAACCCTTAATTACTACTTGTATTTATGCCAGAGTTATTCATTGGTATTTATCCTGCAAGTCAGCAGATATTGAAGAAAAGTGTCTGGCAATTTACTTTATTCATATTCCAGTTTCACTTAAAATTTTTTTAAAGACTGTGATTGTATATGCAGTGTATTAATGAAATATTTGCCAACAAGTGGGGCCCCTAAGTCACAATTTGGAGTTAGTTGCACAATTAGTAGGAGTATGCTCAGATGTATCATAGTAGAACCTCTGTTAACCAAAATAAAGGAGAGGGTGGTCTTCTCAGATAACCAAAATTTTGGTTAAGAAAGTCAATTTTTGAAGATAAAGGTGAAATAAACATTACTTTTTCAGCTTGCATAATTGACTTTACTCATTTAAATGTAAGTGTTCATATACACACTATTTTATAATTGCTGGCCTAGTTTTGGGAAAAAAACATGTATTCTGTTTTTTCTTCTCACAGTTTTATAGCGGCGATATCTTGGTCAGCTTTTCTTCTCCCTATTTCTAAGAGCAGCATTAAGCTGCTGATTTCATTTTCTCACACTCTATGTTTGCAAGTCATTTTGGTTAAAAGGGTTTTAGTTAAAAGGGGTTCTACTGTATATACAAAATGGGTTGTCTTGATGTTGGGGTGAAATAACGAACATAATCACTTAATTGTTTAATCTGTAATACTCTCAATATTGACAAGTAAGGTCCAATCACACTCATTATTATGTAAATAACTCCATTTCTGACTTCTTGTCCTGTTGAAATAGTGCCAAGATCTCCTGTGAAGTCACATTTTTTTTGGCTCACATAGCGCTTAAAAATTGGGTTCTCCCATGTAAAATTATGTAAAAGAATAGTTGATTGGATTCATTGTATTCAATTTATAATACCTGTCTGAAACTTGGTTATATGGCAACAGAGAATATTATCTCTCAGCCTTTATAAAATGGCAACAACATATTAAACCTTGAATGTTGGAATTCAAAATTGATGCACTGTAATTGTTATTAATAATGTTTCTTTATAATGTTATATCAAAGGTGTATCATTCAATCTATTGTCTACAGTGATCCCATTTTTATTTTATCTAATATTCAGATTATAACTATTCAACATGTTAATTAAGATCAGTTTGATGGATACTCATTTTGAAACTTTTTTTTCATATCTTTCAGAAGAAGAGTGTTAAAAAAGTACTGTACTAGCATCATGAAACTCATGAAATAACTTACGTGAGAACGTTGTTTACACATTTTGTCATCATCATAGTTGAAATGTTATAGTTTTTCAGAAAATCCTCTTTTTTTTTGAACAACCACTTAATTTATATTTTTAATACGCAGAATTTTATTCAAAGCAATATTAAGTACAGTGGTCAGCCTCAGAGAATTCACTGTAGGGAATAGGTATAATATGTACCAATCATTTTTTGTGTACCATGTTTGTGTGCATGTTCAACATTGAGCATTTTGTACTATTTGTATTATTTGAAGAATAGGAACTTCTTGATTTAAAATTCTTGTGTGGTTTCTTTTTTTATTCCATTTCATACGCATTGAATACTTGCACCTTATTTCTTCAGGATAATAAATAGTTTTGAATTTAAAACTGCACAGTGAATAAATACCGTAAAGTCATAAATAACTTTATTTTTTTAATTTTTTTTTTTTTAAATTTATGGTCATTGCATCATGATTTTGTGCTATATTCTCTGTATTTTTAATGAAACATTCAGTATTGTAAAACTAATTAATGTTAGTTTAACAACCATATAGACTAATTTTATTAACATTGAATTTGGCATCTTATATTTTTCTTTAATGAATCAAATTCTTTGTTTGAATTCAAACACTGAACACTGTGAGAAAATCTTATTTGCTTTTGCTAAGAAACATACAATGAGTATTTACATAATTCAAGAAACCTTGTGTAAAATTTTCTCAGTTTTGATTTAAATAATATTTGCATCAGCTTTGAAGCCATTAGACTTATGTTACTTGACTACAAGCGTGAAATTGTTAAACATTCTTAAATGGAAGTTTTCTTTTGCTAAGAGTATTGCATTGTCTTTCGTGTATATTGTTCATTGTTTACCCTGTTTTTAGGTAAGTGATCAAATAGTCACACTTGCAAAAGCATTGTGTGGCTTTATATCAGACAATGGATCATAGCAAGTAGAATGGAATGATTACATTGCAGTAATTGTAAAAAATGTTGATAATTTGCATAGTAGGTACCTTGGTAGGGGAGGTACTTTGCCACATTTCCTGTAGTTCTCTATTAGTGTGTTATTTTTACAAACTAAAATTCAATGAGTGCCTGTGTACATGAAGTCAATAAAAAGTTAGGGTGATATACATAGTGTGCATATTTACATAATATTTATAGATTATGATTGTGCAAAAAGAGATAAGTTTTTTGAAATAATGATGAAAAAGGGCTTTCCTCAACATTTCATAAGAAGAGTGTACTATAATACATCAATTAAATTCATTGATGAGAGGAAGAAAATAAAAATTAACCAAGGATTGAGGCAGGTCTACCCACTTTTCCCAATATTATTTAATCTTTACATAGTGTCATCAGTTGGCAAGAATCCATAATCTAGACATTTTATGGTAAATAATACTTCGCTGCACACTATACTCTTTCCAATTATCAAATCATTGGCAAGTTCTGAAGGAGATAAACAACATTCTTTATTAAAATTTAGTAATATTACAAAGCAATATAATCTGACTATAACTTCGACAAAAACAAAGCTTATAGCCTTTGAGGGTACTGATCGAATTAGACCAATAATAATGTGATTGAACAAGTAAATAACTTAACATATCTCGGCCATAATACTTTGTATACAAGATATGCTGATGAAAACAAGCTTCAGAATTTTCAGTATTTTTGTGACATAATAAGAAGACATTTTAAAAACACTAGATGTGAAACAAAGATTAAATATTGTAGAATCATGGCTGTTTCAACATTGTGATATGGAAGTGGAAATTTGGCTCTTGACAACGAAGAAGAGAAATGAGGTTTCTGTCAAGGGTTGCAGGTTATTGACCATAACTGATCATAAGTGAAGTGAAGGTATATGAAAAGAACTTTGCGGTTAAAAGACAATGTTAATGATAAAATATCAAAACGTAAAAGGAAATGACAACACTTCCAAAGAACATCTGAAGACAGAATCTCTAAGATAATAATAAAATATGCAAATGGTAGGAGAAATGTTGGAAAGAATGCTGGAGATCAGAATCACAAAAATAAAAAATTGTGTTAATGGCAGGAGAAATGTTGGATGACCTAAGAAGAGTTGTCAAGATCAAACCAGATGAAGATGGAACAAATCAGAAATGGTTGGCACTCTGGAAATGATGATGAAAATCTGTTTATACTCTTAGTAGTGAATAATGAATGTTTCCATGATTATAGTTATGATCACTGATATTTCATGGAAATACTAGATTGTCCCTGGTTAGCATTTTATAATTGCATTAGTTATAATTATTTTGCATATTTGTGTGGAGGGAGGGTGCTTGTGTGTGGGTGGGCATGTGTTTCAGATCAGTGGTGGAAAAGATAATGTTGAAGAAAATGAGTAAACCAGATGAAATCTTGTCACAAATTCCTCTATGGAATGTACAAAATATTTGCATTGTAGTGCTAATAATTGGGATGGTGCAGTTTTAAATTGTGTAATGTAACATGTACAAAATAAAATTATGTTATCTCTTTACCAAATTATATTATATAGGAGACATGTTCTTTCAAACATTTTCTTGTTTATTACATCCAATTTATTTTTCCATATAATTTACAGGAACCAATGAAGAAAGTTCAACAACTAATTGCAAATAAGGGAGTCACGTTCTTGAATGCTGTAAGTAAAGTCTAAAACACTAAATCTGTCAGAAAGATACCGTAACCATTTGTAACCATAAAAGATAGTTACATCCAGTGGTCCACAAAAAAGGAGGTGTGTGTTGGG